TGCGAAGTAAGGAAAAGGGATTTTCCTTACACTACCCCCCCCCCTCCTAAGGAGGTCCTTCTTACGAAAGTGTGTGGACATCTTTGAAGTTTCGGCTGCGCAGATATTCGGTGAGGACAGGGTGGTTTTCAATTCTGTCCAGGGGAACCCAGTTGTCCTCGGTAGGTGTACGGTCTTTCCAGGGGATCAGGAACTCGATCTTTCAGGCTCCTCGGGGGTCGCGAACTCTGTGACTCAGGATTTTGTCGGGGGTGATGATTGGTTCGAATGATGGTCGTGCCATACTGGATGGTCGGTGTCGTGGGATTTGGCCGGTGGATGGTACGTAAGGGCGAAGCAAGCTGACGTGGAACGAGGGGCTGACCTACCAGTCAGCAGGGAGGAGGAGGTGCGCGGTGACATGTGTGATCATGTGGCTAATTTGAAATGGCCCACAGTATCGGGGGCGAAGTTTTGGAGTGATGGGCAGGCGGAGGTATTGAGTGTCGAGTAAAACGAGGTCGTCGGGCTGATAAGTGACAGGTCTGCGGTGGCGGTCGGCGTTGCGTTTAGCGATGATGTTCGATTTTTTTATTGCTTCTGCTGCCCTGGTCCGTGCTGCTTGCAAAATCTCGGCAAATTGTTGCGCACGTGGAACGGGGTTGTCGGGATTTGGGGTCATGGGTACTGTGGGGTCTTGTCCGTAATTCAGGTAAAACGGCGACTACTGGGTCGTGGCAGATGGCGCGTTGTTGTATGCGAATTCGATGACTGGTAGCTGCTGCTCCCACGTGTTTGGGTCGTCGCACGTGGCCCTAATGAGCTGCTCCATGGTCTGGTTTGTCCGTTCTGTCTGTCCGTCGGTCTCGGGGTGATACGATGAACTGAATTGTAGTCGCGTGCCGAACTGCTGCCACAGGTTCCGCCAGAAATTGCTGGTAAACTTCGTGTCTCTGTCGCTGATGATCGATGCTGGTATCCCGTGCAGTCGAACGACGGTGGCGATGAAGAGTCGGGCTGTTTCCTCGGCTGTGATTGTTTTCTTGCAGGCTGCGAAGTGTGCCATTTTCGTCAGTCGATCGACGACGACCAGGATCGCGTCATTCCCACTCGCCCCGGCTGGTAACCCCGTGACGTAGTTCATCGTCACTTGTTGCCAAGCACGCTCTGGAGGTGGGATTGGTTGTAATTGTCCCGCCGGCCGCTTCCTGGTTGACTTCATGAGCTGGCAAGTGGGACACGATGCCACGTGTTGTTGCACGTCGGTCAACCTTTCAGGCCAGTAATAGTACCGCTGCAGCTGCTGCCGTGTTTTCTCTACTCCGAAATGTCCCGAGGTAACTCCGTCGTGTGACTCCTGTAACAGTAATTCCTGTAGTAGTGTGTACCCTGGTACCCAGATGCGGTCGGTTCCAGCTTCTACGTAATAGACTCCCTTGGCTGCTGCGAATTGCTGCGAGTTTCCTCCTGTGAAGAATGGGTCTGTTTGATATCCGTGGGTAAATAGTCCTGTCAGTAGCGGACTGGTCTGGGCGAGTAGTATCGCATGGATCTGGGCAGTGGGGCGGGTCAGTGCGTCGGTGATATTGGAGGCTCCTTTTTTATAGGCGACCGTATAATGGAAGTTAAAAACTGCTTCGAGATCGACTAAGTGCTGCTGCTTGTCCCGACTGTAAACGAGAATGTCGTCAAGGTAAACTATCACGCATTTATCTAAAAGTGGACTAAACGCCTCGTTCATGGTCATTTGAAATGTGGCGGGCGCGTTGGTCAGCCCGAAAGGCATCACCGTATACTCGAATGACCCGTACCTAGTTCTAAATGTTGTCTTGGCGCAGTCCGATGGTTCGACCTGAATCTGATGGTAACCTCCTCGTAAGTCTATTTTCAAAAATACCCGTGCGGTTCGTAACTGGTCGATCAGTTCGTCGGCGCGGGGGATGGGGTACCGTGATTTGACTGTGACCCTGTTAAGCGCTCGGTAGTCGATGCACATGCGAAACCCTCCGTCTTTTTTCGGTGTGAACAGTATCGGTGCGGCGAACGGTGACGAGCTCGGTCAGATAAACTGCTTCTCTAACAGATAATCTAACTGCTTCCGTAGTTCGTCGAGCTCGGGCTGTGTTAGTCTGAACTGGCGCTGTACAATTGGCTGTGCCCCCGGTTCTAACTTGATCCTATGGTCATGCGCCCGTTGAGGTGGCAGCCCTTGTGGTAAGTCATCCGGAAAGATACCCGGGAATCGTTTCAGTAGTGCCTAAAGTTCGGGTGGTACAGCTGCCAATAGTTTCTGAAAATCGCTCGGCAGCTCCTCTTCTTTCACTAATGCTATATCCACTGCGTACACGTCAGCTCCAGCAGCGACAGCCCGTTTCATCGTGATGGCGTTGACCTGGACCGTCGAAGACTCGGGTGGCTGCCAGCGAGGTAGGACGACCCAGTTACCACTATTTCGCACTATGCAGCTACCCGTCGTCCAGTCAATTCGCGGGTTATACCGTCGCAGCCAATCACGTCCCAGTAAAATGTCGTGCCCATCCAGTGTCGTTGCGAGCATTTCCTGTGTAAACCCGAAGTTTCCTCCGCAGCGGACTTTTACTCGCTCCACCTTTTCCTGTATGGCTAGTGGCGTTCCGTCGACTAAGCGTGCATCTTTCTCAGGTAAGCATCGGTTAAGTGTTAACTGTAATTTTCGTGCGGTTGCGGTATTAACTAAGCTGTGACTTGCTCCCCCGTCAATAAAAATCTTCACTGCTGCTCCATGTATTTTCCCGTAGATCAGTACCGGGCAATCCGTCGCTGTACCCTCCTTATTCATCCGAGCCCGATCGATGGCGTGAATCGGTACTGTGACTCGGTGAGGGTCGGTGTGGTTGGGCGAGCAGGCAGTCTCGTCAGTAGTTGGCCCAACTTCTACTGACTGCTGGCGTTTCCCTGCCTCTGAGACTCCCTCCCCTGCTCTGCTCCTCGGCGCCTCAGCTCCCCTGGGCATTCGCTCTTGCGATGGCCCGGCCTGTTGCAAGCAAAGCAGCGCCCTTTAAACGGTGCGGCAGCTGCATTTGTTGTAACGGCGTGTACAGTGGCGTGCTCGGTCGGTCCCCGAGGGTGATGTCCGTAATAGGACCCCGGTCTCGGTCGGCGTAGAATGTCGATCTTCTCGGCGAGCGCGAGAATCTCGTTAAAATTAGAGAGTCCGCGCAGCATTATTTCGTGCGAGATATCCGGCTTCAGCCCTCCGACATAACGGTCCACCCGCTCCGCTTCGTGCATGTAGCCGACCTGCTCGCAAAGTGCGAGAAAACCGCTGGTATAATCTTGAACTGACCCGAGCTGGCGCCAAGTGCGCAATCTCTGACGCGCCGAAATTGAAGCCGCGATCGGCTCAAAACGCGCCCGAAGCCCTGTGCACCACGCATCCCACGTGCTGTATTGGGCGGACTCACAGAACGAACTCCAGGTGACAGCTGGACCCGTGGGCCCTTCCTCGTGCGACGGTGGCTCGTAGGCGCGTGGCGACGTCACGATGACTCGCCACCAGTCCATGGCGGGGCCCCTTAGCAGTGAAACTGCATACCGGATCTTCGCGGCGTCCGACTCGATGTAATTTGCGTCGAAGAAGACGTTCATCGTGAAGACCCACGATTGAACCGTCGGACCGCCGCGTTGGCTTGGGTCGAAGCAGGGCGGGCGTTGCGGCTTGAGCGGCATTGGTGCCATGATGGCTTGTTCGCCACTTGTCGCCGCAAATTCCACGTGCCGACGGGCTTCTCGGGGCTCCCGCGGGCTTGGTGCGATCCTGTTTCCTCCCATGCCAGGCATCGGCTGGGTGGCGCCATTACTGGTTGTGCCTGAGCGTTGTCCCATGCTGTCGTGTTGTGTTGGTGTGCCGGACGAGATGACGATCGGTTCATCCGAATGTGCCGATACATTTGTTGGTGTGTGTGATGTCGTCGGAACGTTCACCGTGGACTGTTGACGGGAGGAGTCACGTTCCGCCGTGAGCGTCGCGATTTCGAGCGCTGAATCTTCCATTTGACGCACGAGACGATCAAGTTGCTCCTGCGTTAATGTGGCGAGCGTGAAATCGGCCATGGCGGGGGTGTCGGGCAAGCTCAGCGAGAGCCTCGGTCGTGGCCGTGCGTGCTTGCGAGAGAGCACTACGAGCGGCGGTGCTGTATCGCTGAGAGACGTCTACCCCCCCCAAAAAATTGAGATAGTGGGGAAGCGAAGGTGTGGATGCGGTCCGAGCTGAGATCGTAGGCTCTGATAACCTAGTGTTACGAGTGCAATTGAGTGAACGAACGAGAATTGCACTATCGAAGCAAGAATACAATGAGCGAGGGCGTGAGCGAAGAATGTATAGCGAAACTACAGTGGTAACGGTAATGGTCTGTGGTAGTCGCGCGACGAACCTGGGACTGAGGTTGGGAAAGTGTCGAGGCGTAGGCTCGGAGCGCGGGTTACCAGCCGAGCCGTGAGGTCGGGATGCGATGTGCGAAAAATGGCGGGATGATTGTCGATGCGATGATCGCGAGTGGTAACGGTGCTGACTGAGGTGCTACAGTGATGTACGCGTTGAGCAGGGATGCGAAGTAAGGAAAAGGGATTTTCCTTACATTGATCAGGAACTTACATCCCCCCTGTTCCTCTTCAGTTTACTTACCTCGAACTCTTCCACATTACCTGTAGCGAAAGGTCCAGTTTCAACGTTAAATTCCTACAGAAGCCATGACCGTATTCGCTCGGCGAGCGCCATACAAAGACTGTCGATTCTGTTAATAATTCCATCGTCCGTTCCTTTTGCTTTGTTGTTGACCAAACGGCAAATCGAGGAACCCATTGACGATCTAGGGTTTCCCTATTGCCAGACGAGCTGGGCACCAATCAACGATCTACCGCTTGCTTTAACCGACAAGGGTCCGTCACCAGCAGAAGCACCGTCCGATCTACTACTAGATATACAGTGGCCGTCGATTTCTTTCGACTGGCTTGCCGGCATTGATGCCACCTGACAGTAGAGCATGGGCTGTGGGGTCTCCGTGCCTAAGGTTGCGCTCGACGAGAGTAAGCAATCCAGCAGCTCTTACCACATTGTCCCCGAGTTTCATCACGGTCGAGTCACGTCAAGCGCGCTGTCGCTGTGAATTTGCGTTCTTAAGCATTGTCGAGCTAAGGCGATTGCGACAAATCCTTTCCCCCCCAGTTCTATCCGTTTTACCCGTCCACCCACGCGACAATTGCGATACGTGAAAGTGCTTGGAGGTCACCAATTTAATCGCACGAATGATTTGCAGCGGAACGGACCGAGCTTGCATTAGTACGGCCACCGAATTCCATGTTCTTGCCCATAGACACGTTTCGGCGCGTGATTTCCTGTTGGCCTAGGGTTTGGTTTCGCCCGGAATTATGTCGGACTGTAAAGCTTCGGACGTCTCATGCCGTTGCCCGGCTGCCTTCACGATATGGCGTGATTCTTAACGAACCATTCTATGCCAGATTTGTTTTATGTTGTGCCAGCTTCTAACAAGCGATCTTCGCTGTGCCAGCCCTCTCGTCTCTTCCGGCCCGTCACCTTTCCTTCCCCCTCTCTTCCCGCTGCGTCGCTCATGGCTTTGCACAGATGGGTTCGAGGACGGGTCTCCTACCTGGCAAAACAGTGATGCGGGCAACACCAGTGGTAACCCTACCGACGGCAGTAACCCTAGCAACGCGCCCAACGCCGTGGGATCGACAAATAAGGCTGGGCCAGGCGCAAGCGGAAACGAGACAAGGGTCGGCGGGATCTCGCCGAAACGACCACTTTCTGGAAGACAGGTTGACGGGGGGAACTGTCAAATAAGCATACCTGCTCCCGCTGCTGCAGCGGCTGTTGCTGTTGCTGGTGCTGTTGCTGGTGCTGATGCTGCTGGTTCCGGCGCTGCTACGGCAGCAGTCGTAACGAGAGAGGCGTCAGGGGGCGGAATAGCCGAAACTACCCCACTGCCAGGAACGACGAGCACACTTATAGAGGAAAGAGGAGGAGCAGGCGGACGCGGACGGGAAGGGGAAGCAGGAGGGGGTGGGGCAGGGGGAGGGAGAGGTGGAGGGGAAGGGGGAGGGGGAGGGGGAGGTGGAGGGGGAGGGGAAAAGGGAGGGGGGAGGGGAAGGACGAGCGGGAGTATCAGCTGATGAGATGGCACGGAGAGTGACAGAGACGGACGGAGCTGTTCCAGGAGCGGTAGGGGAAGGAGGTGAAACAGTAAGAGGTAGTACAGGAGAGCCAGCAGCAGCAGCAACAGCAGCAGCAACAGGAGGAGGAGTAGGAGGAGGAGGAGGAGGAGGAGGAGGAGGAGGAGGAGGAGGAGGAGGAGGAGGAGGAGGAGGAGGAGGAGGAGGAGGAGGAGGAGGAGGAGGAGGAGGAGGGGGAGAAGCAGCAGCAGCAGCAGCGGGAGGAGGAGAAAGAAGTGACGCAGGGACGGAAGGGGCGAGGGTGGAAAGGAGAAGCAGTGAGGCGTCTGACGAGATGGATGCGGTGATGGAGGAGATACGACAGACGCTCAAGCGATCCCAGGAGATGGAGGCTCGCGGTGGTGGTGGGGACGACAATGACAACAGCGACAACGAGGAGAGCAATGGCGACGGGGTGAAGAACGGCGGGGTGATTCAGATCCAGGGAGGCGTGGTGGTCGGGGTGCGGCTGCCTGGCGAATCGGTGGAGAGAGATGCAGATAGGGTAGAGGATGGGGGAATAGGAGTCGCCAGCAGCAACGGGGGCGGGGCGGCGTGGCATAGGCTGCGAGACGAAGGTTCAGAGGCGGCCGAACCAGGCAGTGCGGCTGTGACGCCTCCCGGCGAAGGTTCAGACGATGAGAATGCGTTTCCGCCGAATCCCGCGTTAGAGGATAATGGCCGGGTGGGGGGTGTAGGGGGTGCAGTGGTAGGTAATGGAGCAGCGGGTTTAGAACAACCGCGCATAAGTAGGGAGTCGTCTGGATCAAGGGACGACACAGGCGTTAGAGAGGGAGAGGTAGGGGGAGAAGCAGCAGAATCGTCATCTGCAGCTATTGCTGCAAGCAGGGCCCAACAAAATCCAGGCAGCGGGTCGGGGCCCGGGGGGGGAAACAGTCGGAGAAGCCTGAACCCGGGAGGGTATTTAGCGGAGCTTGCCCTGGAGCTGCAGCAGCACAAGGCGGTGGCCCCACAGGAGTTTTCATACGAAGAGCTGAGGGACGCGACGCAGTGCTTTAAAGAGGAGCTGGTGCTGGGGGAGGGCGGGTTCGGAAAGGTGTATGAGGGGCTGCTGATGGTGAGGGACGAGGACACTGGGCAGCACGTGCAGACGAAGGTCGCTGTGAAGCAGCTGAGCCAACAGGGCCTGCAGGGATTTAAGGAGTGGCTGGTGAGGGGATGGGGGTTGGGCCGGAGTGGTGGGCGGGGCGTGGGGCTGGAGGGAAAGGAGGGATGAGGAGAGGATGGGAGGGGGATGGTAGCAGGTGAACGGAGTGGAGTGATTTTATGGGAGTGGTGAGGGATTTTCTGATGTGGTTGGCCTGAGTACTGTTCTTGCTGTTTCCTGTGGTCTGACCGAGACTCACTCCATCTCTATGTTTGTGCTGTGTCGACCATCTGGTGTCACTTGTGCGCGGCATGGTGGGGTTGTGCATGTGCCTAACACATGGGCGTGTTTGTGCACACGTGGTTGTGTGCGCGTGTGCGTGCGTGCGGCATGTGTGTGTGACATGTGTGTATGACATGCATGGGTGATATGTACGCATGCATGTGTGTGCGCGGCATGGCATGTGTGCATGGCATGGATCGGTGGCATGCATGCACTGGCAGACGGAGGTCATATTCCTGAGGCGCCTGCAGCACCCGCATCTGGTGCAGCTGGTGGGGTACTGTGCGGAGAAGGAAAAGGGCCTCCTGGTCTACGAGTACATGCCCAACCGCTCCCTCGACTGCCATCTCTTCAATGGTGCTCGCGCACGAATTCACGCTCATGTACACATGCACGAATACATGCATCCACACACACACGCAGACACATGCACACTTTCACGCATGCATTCACACATGAACGCGCAATGCCCGCATACTAATGCAGTCTCGTCACTTGCTTATCCCAAGAACGTTATTAACTATTTGCTTGATTCTTAAAAAAAGCATAAATTGTGTCTTATTTTCTGCAACATCAAAGTCCCTTCTACCCGCACCCAAGCCTTTCGCCCCACAGTTCTCCACGTGTGTCTGTCCGTGTCTCTGTGTTTCTGGCTCAGAAGCGGAGCCGCCGTTGACGTGGGAGGTGCGGGTGAAGGTGGCACTGGGTGCAGCCAAGGGGCTGGCATACCTGCACGAGGGCACAGAGCACCAGGTCATCTTCCGAGACCTCAAGGCCGGCAATATCCTGCTAGACGAGGTGCGGTTCAGTGTGGTGTGGTGCGCTGCGGTGTGATGCAATGCAGGCCTAGCTTTTGCAATGCTAGGTTGCTGTAATGCTGAGGTTATGCGTGTGTTGTGTTGTGTGCCGAGTGGGGCTGTGTGTATGTGTCGGCATTGCTATGCCCCTCCAGGACAGGATAGAACACCCAGCCTGAAGAGGATGATTCAGTGCGAGCACTCCGACTTCATGCAATGCAACACTCGTTTCCGCAGGTCGAAGTGACTCTTACCTTACCTCACATCTCCCCCTCCCCGAACCCCCCACCTCTCCCCACACCTCTCCTCCAACCCCCTGTCCTTCCCACGCCTTGGCTGATGCTGGTATGAACTCACCCAATGCAGAATTTTTTCCCCAAGCTGTCAGACTTTGGGCTAGCCAAGGACGGGCCTCGGGGCGGCAAGACCCATGTGTCCACCAAAGTGGTCGGCACCTATGGCTACACTGCTCCTGAGTACATGCAGACAGGTGTGTGCCAGTGTGCCGGTGTGCAGTAGTGCGGTTCTCTGCTGAGCTGTTGAGATGACGTGCGTCTACCATATGTGTGTGCAATTGCTGGTGCTGCATCACTTCATCCTCCTCCTCCTCTTCCTCCTCCTCCTCCTCCTCCTCCTCCTCCTCCTCCTCCTCCTCCTCCTCCTCCTCCTCCTCCTCCTCCTCCTCCTCCTCCTCCTCCTCCTCCCCCCCTCCTCCTCCTCCTCCTCCTCCTCCTCCTCCTCCTCCTCCTCCTCCTCCTCCTCCTCCTCCTCCTCCTCCTCCTCCTCCTCCTCCTCCTCTTCCTCCTCCTCCTCCTCCTCCTCCTCCTCCTCCTCCTCCTCCTCCTCCTCCTCCTCCTCCTCCTCCTCCTCCTCCTCCTCCTCCTCCCCCCCCCTCCTCCTCCTCCTCCTCCTCCTCCTCCTCCTCCTCCTCCTCCTCCTCCTCCTCCTCCTCCTCCTCCTCCTCCTCCTCCTCCTCCTCCTCCTCCTCTTCATACCCTTCCCCCCTCCCCTCCCTCTTGTCAGGCCATTTGACGAGCCGCAGTGACGTGTATGCATTTGGGGTGCTGCTGCTGGAGCTGCTATCGGGCAGGAGAGCAGTGGACATGGACCGGGTGTGGCAGGAGCGTAGCCTCGTGTACTGGGCCAAGCCGTACCTCTTGGATCGGCGCCAGAGCGTCAAGCTTGTGGACCCCAGGCTCGGGGGCCGGTTCCCTGTGAAAGGGGCACAGAAGCTGGCCCTGGCCGCACACTGCTGCCTGCTGGATGCTAAATCACGCCCCAAAATGTCTGAGATGGTGACTATATTGAGGGGACTGCAGGATATTCCTGTTCCAGTGCAACAGGTGGTGAGCCCAGGGCCATCTGGGGTAGGACCTTCTTCTGATGCTGCTGCTGCTGCTGCTTCTGCTGCTGTAAAGTCGGCTGGCAGTTCGGGTGACGCAGGAGCTGCTGTGGCTATGAAATAGTTGTCATTGTTTGCTGCTGGAAAGTTCATGGTTGGTGCTGCATTGTCTCTGTGGCTTTGTGCAAGGTGGTGTGTTGATTGATGCTGGCAGCAGAGGCGAGCAATCCTGTTCTCATCTCCGCACAACGAGTTTGAGAAGGATGAGCATCGGTAGGTTAGTTTTAGGCATAGGTTGCGTGATACTGTTATTGGTGTCCCTACATTGGTGCCAGGTTGTATGGATGTGTTGATGCACATCATGGTTAGAATGCAGATGGTCGTTGGGTTTGGATCACGATCACATGTGGAAGGCCGGCAGTTGCAGGCAAGCACTTACAGGTTCCGGGGGAGGTGTTTGTAGGGTTTGGTTGGATCAGAATAATGAGGTTTGTGGAAGGCATGTGGAAGGGAAGCATGTTTGGTTGTGATGGAGCATTGTAGCTCAAAAAGTTGGAGTGCATCAAACGCACGGATCGATCGTTGAGGGGTGTGCTTAAGACGCGGACACTCCCATCACATATTGATCTATCACCGCACTAAAACCTGCGTTTACCATACATAACTTTCCTGACCTCTTTAAAACCCGTCAAAAAACGACCCTGTGGCGAAACCGATCGGCGAAATGGATGCGAGTGCCCGCGTCAGGCTGAAGATGTGGAAGCATCTTATGCACCGCAATAAGCGTGCACGCGATTACCTGCCATAACCTGACTCAGGTGAGAATGCAGCATGATGCTACAGTTTAGTCTCGTAGTGTTTCGAGGTGGTAGCGGTCAGGTGAGATCAACAGCCTGAGAAAACAACTGTGTTGTTTGGGTCTCACGAACCTCGCATCTACACGTACTTCCCATTCACACGTCGCATCTTCCCACCCGAGCTGCTGATCTCCCTGACTCCAGCCTGACCCGAAAGGATTCCTTACGTACCCGTTAGCTTGGGTATTCACGTGTACTGTACCTTAGGTAAGGTACATCTGACCCAATACACACTGAATTCGTGGCCCTGCCTAGATGTTGCATCTTCCCTTGAGAATGACGAGAGTCCAGCCCAGCCTTGTCGGATTTACGAACGCGCTTTCTACTCGAGACAGGCTAATTTCGGTAAATTTTCGCCAATTTTTTCTGTGCTACTATCGACGACTGAACATTTTCTTATTCACAGGAGTAATCATGAAGTTTGAGGTACCACCTGGTCACCGACGCGCACTCCGACGTTTTTCAGAGACATTCTGAACCATTTCTGGTTTCGTCAGTCCGACCCCCAAAAGTCGGGGGCACGAATGATTCTGTCATGTGTCTACGTCGGAAAACTCCTTACTAGGAGTCGGAGCCAAGTTTCACTCACAAGGAACAGATTTTTGTTGCAATTTTTGGGCCTTCCATTCGGATGAGCCTGAAACATACCCACTTCAAAAAGAACTCGTCGCACACAGCCCTCGGTCTCAGAGAAACCAGGGGTAGCTCTCCATATGTAACTTTTGGCAGGGATTGGTTGTGTTCACTCCTAGACTGGCAGACTCTTACCAGGTGCTCTTTCCCGGTTGAGGGTACAGAATGGCTCTTTAATGGATGATAACTTTATTGCATCGAAGTTAATCGCACGACAGGGTGTAGTCGCTCTGACGCTCCATTCGAGTTATCACCCCCATGCGTTGAGAGAGATTGGTTGGTTGGTGGGTGTGTGTCTGCTGATGAATCTCGCTGTCGGAAGGAACAACTTCCGGCTGCAGCTGTCTACCGCCGCGACATTTCGTAGATGATTGTTTTCCCAGCTACATACTCGCTGCAATCCGACTGCCGGATTGTCCCCTCTGCGCATCTTACGCGTAGACCTTCTCTGGATCGAGGCAGCTTTGCCTGCCTTCACACTAGCTTTCGCTTCTAGTCAAGTGGGTGCTTCTGTGACCGTGTCCTCTTGGCCGCTCCTCCTCTCTGTTCCTCGTACCCACCACCTCCCATGAAGTCCTTATCATCGTTTCCGCATCCTCGCCCGAATCTCGATCCGCTAATCTGATACGAGACATAGCCATGCGGAAACGAGACCGTCGGAAGCTCCTCCCGTCAGTGCGGGAAATGGGGAGGGACTCTCGTCTGCTCCCCGTTCGTGCGTTCGCCGCGGCTGTCGCTCGCGTGGTTCTAATAAGCCTGCTGGTCGCGGCGGTCTTGGTGATTCCCCGCGCGAACGGCGCTATCACGGTGGAACAGAAGCGGAAGCAGGTGAGTTGCATCCACGGATGCAATGACGGCGCGGTGAGGATGAGTGCAGGGCGGTTGAGTATGACTGGTGCGATGCTGGGTGCACTGTCGGACGGGTGAAAATGACGTGTTCAACGCAAACCGGTCCGGTGCTATTGTTTGTGGAACGTCGTTGTTATCCGCTCCGTTCCACCGTGGACTCAGGCGAGTTTGAATACAGCGTGAGTGGCGCTTTCGCCGCGCGCGACACAGATCAGTGAGTTACTGTACACGAGTTTCTCCTCGCGTGGGTGCGTAGCTCACAACTCAGGCTGGGTGCACCCGTCAGAGTCGTGACACACCACGACACACCACGACATGTGTGGATCACGCTTGCCAGCTCCAATAGTCAAAACAACACAGCCACACCCACCCTTCATTCTACTCCCCCTTCCCTACCCGCCCCTTCCTTCCACGGTTCCCTCCCTCCTCTCCCTTGCGCCTTTCCCCCGCGCCTCTCGAACCCCAACGTTCCTCCCAACGGCCGTCACTTTCCGTTCCGCGCGGGCGCGAATGGCGCGACAGGGCGTCGTGAAGAGCGTGTTCCTGGTGAAGGACGAGGAGGAGCGTACCTGCCGGGCACGGGCCACAAATAGGTGCCCGGCACGGGTGACTTAACGTGGCAGCAGCAGCAGCTGCTGCTGTTGGGGTAAAAAACGGATATTCACATATGTTCACAAGCACAAACCTGTTCCACGTTTTTTTCTCCCGCATGGCGCGGCAGGGCGGCGACGTGAAGAGCGCGTTCCTGGTGAAGGACGAGGAGGAGCTGCCGGGCACGGGCCTGTACGGCGCCGCCACGAGCTTGGCGGCTGGCGGCACGGCGTACCGCCTCTCGCGGCAGGGCATCAGCACCATGGACCTGGTTCGTTCGTTCGTTCGTTCGTGCCGTGCCGTGCCGTGCCACGCCGTGAGCACGGCTCATGCTTCTAGAGGGGTGTAATGGACGTGGCTCGTTCGTGCCGTGCATTGCTGCTAGAGGGGCGCCATGGGCATGGTTCGTTTGCTCCGGAGGCGCCAAAGAGGGGCCTCTGCTGCTGGAAGCGTGTCCACTCTCGAGCTTTTTCCGGAGGAGTGAATTCGAATAGTGGGTAGGAGAGGGTCCTGCAGCGCGGTGGGCATGAACATAGTGTTGACAGCATGTGGGCCCTCTTCCCCTCTCACCAGTGAGTGTTGCCAAGACCAGGTTAGATCGCAGCGCAGTGGACGTGGGCGTCCTGGGTCCTCTCCCCTCCCCTCCCCTCCCCTCCCCTCCCCTCCCCTCCCCTCCCCTCCCCTCCCCTCCTCTTCCCTCCCCTCCCCTCCCCTCCTCTTCCCTCCCCTCCCCTCCCCTCCCCTCCCCTCCTCTTCCCTCCCCTCCCCTCCCCTCCCTCCCTCGTTGCGTGCTCTTTTGGTTGGGTCGATGGGTCAACTGGAACGCAGTTTCGCTCTTCTGTGCTTCTCCCCCCAAACTCTTCTCCTCTTCCCCTCTTCCCTCCTCCCTCGATCTCTCTCACTTCCCTCGCATCCTTTCCCCCTCCCCCCTCTCGCCGGTTTTATCCATCCCTCTTGAAGTCTCCCTCTACCTCTCGCCCTCTGTCCCTGTCGTACCCTCCACCCCGCGCCTCCTTCCCCCTTGTTTCCTCCTGTGTGCGTTGCTATCAGGTAACCAACACACTGCGGCGACGGAGAGTGATCAAGATGTTCAGAGGAGGGCCGTTCAGCGTGAACAGGTAACGTTGTATCATCATGCTAAACATACGACCATGCCAGCCAACATGCCAACATGCCATCACGCCATTATGCCATCACACCATCATGCCATCATGCCATCATGCCATTATACCATCATACTATCACAGCATCATGCCATCATACCATCATGCGACCATGACAGACGGTGTGTGTGAACGTGCTTGTGTGGCATGGCATGACATGGCACGGCACGGCACGGCGCGGCATGGCAGGTCGTCGTACTACATAAGCATGGAGTTCGGGCCCATCAAGCACATCATGAACCTGCGTGTCGACAACCTCACGCCGCTCACCTGGGTCTCCTGCGATTGCATCCAGTGCCGCACTGCGGGCGCCATTTTCAAGGTGAGTGGAACTGACTTGTGACTTTGGAGTTTCTCCAAGAAGAACCACCTCACTCACTCCCCTCACCTGGATCTCCTCCTCCTGTGACTGCATTCAGTGCCGCACTGCCGGCGCCATTCTCAAGGAGCATGTGGGGAGATCAGTCATTCGGAGTAGTCACTTTTCTAAGTCGAATCAATCAACACCCCCCCCCCCCCACCCCACCCCAACCCCCCCAACCCCACACCCCCCCTCCCCTTCCCCTCGTTCCCATCCCCCCCCCCCCCCAACCCCACACCCCCCCTCCCCTTCCCCTCGTTCCCATCCCCCCCCCCCCCAACCCCCACTGCTTTGCTGCTGTCCCGTGTCTGCTCCTGTCCTGGTGGTGTCCACAGGAGCGGCCGCCGTTCAACACCACGGCCAGCAACTCAACGCGCATGGCGTGTGCTACCCCCACGTGCACCGCTGTGACGGGGCAGCCTGTGCCGCTTGGACAAGTCGGCTGCAACCTCGCCTCTACCGTCATCCCATCTGCTGTGCGCACAGGTATGTATGTATGTATGTATGTGCACATATCGCACGCATGCACGCACGCACTCTCTCCCCATCGTTGCCAAGTTTTGCCAAGTTGTGAGGCGCCCCATCATTGTTGTTCCTCTGCATCATTGGCAGAAGCCCATCGCGATCCCTCTCTTTTGAGAACTCTCCTAAGTGACTCCAGCATTGCTCGTACCCGCTGTGCGCGCACGCGTGTACGCCATTGTCGAGAATGCTCAGAAGTGATTCCAGTACTGCTCCCGGTTCCCATGCCATGCCATGCCATGCGCGCAGGCAGGTGCACGTACACGCACTCGTTCCCCATCGCCAAGAGCCCTCTGGGGTCCCTTTTGAGAAGTCCCGAACCTGATTCCAGTAATGCTCCTATCCGCCGTTCCTGTGTGCTGTGCGTGCAGGCGGGTGCACGTACTCGCACTCGTTCAGACTTTTGAGTTGATTCAAAAGTCACCTCTGGGGTCCCTTCTGAGAAGTCCCAAACCTGATTCCAGTAGCGCTCCCATCCGCCATTCCTGTGTGCTGTGCGCGCAGGCAGGTGCACGTACTCGCACTCATTCCCCATCGCCAAGAGCCCTCTAGGGTCCCCCGGGAGCCTGCTGCTGAGCGGTGACAAGACGAGCACCGGGAAGAGCGAGGGGGTGCTGCTGTCGGAGCAAGTGTGGTTCACGCACTCTGATAACACCACCGTCAACCCCCTGCTTACCATCGGGTGCGTTGCGTTGGGCCAGTGTGGGAAGGTGAGAAAGCGGAAAGAGGGCAAGGGAAAGGTGTGGCAAGGAGGGAGGAGGGAAAGCGTGAAGGGGTAAAGGGAGGAGGGGGAAGAGGGGGAGAGGAGGGCGAGGAGGAAGTGCAGGAGGGGAGGGGAAAAGGGGACCGGGAGTGGGAGCGAGGAGTGTATAAGTGCCATCAACCGAGCGAGGGGGTGCTGCTGTCGAAGCAAGTGTGGTTCACGCACTCTGATAACACTACCGTCAACCGTCAACATTGTGAGGGATGCAATCGAGTATGCTGGGTTCCCTCCTCCCTGTAGCCCCGAATCAAAGCCTCGCTCCCTACCCGCATCTCCATTTCCACCGCGTTCCTCCACTCTCCCTTTTCCCCGCTCTCCCTGCCCTCTCCCCCTCTCCCCGCGCCCTCTCTCCCCCTCCCCTCCACTCTCCACAGCTGTGGCATGGCGCAGAGCAGCAGTTTCGCCAGGGTCACGGAGGCGCCAGACGGAGTGTACGACCTGACCTCGCTCTCTTCTTTTTCCCCGTCACCTCCCCTCGACTCCATTTCCTCCTCGTCCCTCTCCCTCCCCTCCTTCCCCCCTCCCTGCCCTCTCCCCTCACCCCTTTTCCCCCACCTCTCCTCCCCCTTCTCCCCACAGCTGTGGCATGGCGCAGAGCGGCAGTCTAGCGGGGGTCACAGAGGCGCCGGACGGGGTGTACGGGCTGGGCAGGGGGGCGCTGAGCATCCAGAGCCAGATGAACGACCTGGCCATATGGGAGTACGGGTATGGCATGTGTCTCGAGGGCGACGCCTCCAGCAACAACGCCAAGTCGTACCTCTCCCTGGGGAGCGGCCGCATTGGCGGGGCCAACGACTCTGTTCCGATTATTTTTGTTGGGAACAGGTGCGTGCGTGCGTGTGTGTGCCTGGGTGGGTGAGAGAAAGATGGCAAGACCAAGCGATAGGCGAGAGAAAGATTGTGAGAACAAGCGACAGGTGAGAGAAAAATGGCGAGAACAAGCGATAGGTGAGAGAAAGATTGTGAGAACAAGTGATTGGTGAGAGAAAAATGGCGAGAACAAGCGATAGGCGAGAGAAAGAGGGGTGTGCGTGTGGGTGCGCCTTCCCCCCGCAACCTCTCAGCCCGCTGCTATTCGCAGACATGGTAGCCATGGCTGTTGGGCTCTGAGACATCTCAATTCTCTTTCTTCTCTTTCTTCTCTTCCCCTCGACCCCACCTTCACCTCTCCCCCCTCACCCCAACCTCTCAGCCCGCTGCTGTTCGTGGACATGGTATCCGTGGCTGTGGGGCTCGTGACGCTGAACTTGCCGCCCGGAACGTTCTCCCTGCCGTCCGATCAGGGTCTGGGCGGCACAGTGTTCGACCCCTTCACCACCATCACCCGCCTGCCGCCCGCTGCTCTCAACGGCATGATTGATGCTGTAGGGATGGGGGGAGGTGGGGAGGGTGAGGGCGGGATTGATTAAGAGTGGATGGGTTTTTGAGTCGACTCGTATGTCTGAGTCGACTTGTTTGGGATAAAGAAGGACGGGAAGGTTTGGGATGGGATGCGATGCGATGCAGTGGGATGCAATGCGATGGGATAAGATGGGATGGAATGAGATTTGAGGGGTTAGGCTGGGTTGGCCTTCAATCTCCACTGTACCACTGCACCTCTCTTCTGCTGCATTTCTTTGCTCCTTTTCTTTGCTCCTCTGGTGTCATCAGCTGCAGACGGGAATCTACTTGAACTCGGACTCATAGCTTGCAATTGCACTCTGCTCTCTGCTACCTGTGCCTGCCCTGCCCTGCCCCGCCCCGCCCCACCCCACCCCACCCTGCCCCATCCTGGTGGCAGCTGGTGTACACCCGCCCGGGTCTACTGCCGGACGCCACCACGTCCACTGCACTGGGGCTGCGCTGCTTCACAGGCACCATGTACAAGAAGTGAGTGCGCCGCCTGCCTGCCTGCCTGCCTGCCTGCCTGCCCTGCTGCGAGAACAAGAGAGTGCTGCGTGCTGAGTGATGCGTGTTTTGTGCTGCGTGCGTTGTTCCACATGCATGCTCCTGCACGTGCATCCTCCTCCTCCTCCTGCACGTGCATCCTCCTCCTCCTCCTGCACGTGCATCCTCCTCCTCCTCCTGCACGTGCATCCTCCTCCTCCTGCACGTGCATCCTCCTCCTCCTGCACGTGCATCCTCCTCCTCCTGCACGTGCATCCTCCTCCTCCTGCACGTGCATCCTCCTCCTCCTGCACGTGCATCCTCCTCCTCCTGCACGTGCATCCTCCTCCTCCTGCACGTGCATCCTCCTCCTCCTGCACGTGCATCCTCCTCCTCCTGCACGTGCATCCTCCTCCTCCTGCACGTGCATCCTCCTCCTCCTCCTGCACGTGCATCCTCCTCCTCCTCCTGCACGTGCATCCTCCTCCTCCTGCACGTGCATCCTCCTCCTCCTGCACGTGCATCCTCCTCCTCCTGCACGTGCATCCTCCTCCTCCTGCACGTGCATCCTCCTCCTCCTGCACGTGCATCCTCCTCCTCCTGCACGTGCATCCTCCTCCTCCTGCACGTGCATCCTCCTCCTCCTGCACGTGCATCCTCCTCCTCCTGCACGTGCATCCTCCTCCTCCTGCACGTGCATCCTCCTCCTCCTGCACGTGCATCCTCCTCCTCCTGCACGTGCATCCTCCTCCTCCTGCACGTGCATCCTCCTCCTCCTGCACGTGCATCCTCCTCCTCCTGCACGTGCATCCTCCTCCTCCTGCACGTGCATCCTCCTCCTCCTGCACGTGCATCCTCCTCCTCCTGCACGTGCATCCTCCTCCACCTGCACGTGCATGCGCCATCAGCAACAACTAAGCAAGCCCATCGCTTTCGATTCCCCTCTCTCCCCCAATCCCCTGTATCCCCCTCTAGCTTCCCACGTGCCCCCTCGTCACTCCCATACCCCCTTCCTTGTTCCCCTTCTAACCCAAATCACCCCTAGCTTGCACCTTCTCCTTCCCCTCCCCCTTCATCCCCTCCCCTCCCCCTTCATCCCCTCCCCTCCCCCTTCATCCCCTCCCCTCCTCCCTCAACTCCCCTTTCCCTTCACCCCCTCCGCTCCCCCCTCACCCCCTCCCCTTCCCCCTCATCCCCGCCCCTATCCCATCTGCGCCCGTTGTCGGTCTGCCTGACCCCACAGTGCCAACTATACGGCGTTCTACCAGCAGTTCCCCACCCACCATGAACACGTGCTTTGTGCTGAGGCAATCTCTGAGGCACCTAGAAACTCTCCCCTTCCCTCTCACCCCCTCACCCCCTCACTGCCTCACCTCACCCCCGTCCCCTTCCCCATGGCGCCTGTTGGCAATCTGCCTGACCCCACAGTGCCAACCATACGGCGTTCTATCAGCAGTTCCCCACCATGCACATGCGCTTTGGCAACGGGGCCTACTTCTTCCTCCTCCCAGAGACCTACCTCATTGCCGTCAGTGCTCCTTCCCACCACCACCACCACCACCACCACCACCACCACCACCACCACCACCACCACCACCACCACCACCACCACCACCACCACCACCACCACCACCACCACCACCACCACCACCACCACCACCACCACCACCACCACCACCACCACCACCACCACCACCACCACCACCACCACCACCACCACCACCACCACCACCACGCCTTGCTTTCGCGTCTTGCCTTGCCACCATGCCTTGTCTTCGCACCACACCTTGCCCTGCCTTTTCAACCGCACAGAAACCACAACCGTCCTGCTGCCTTCCATCGTCTCGTTCCCTCTACCTTGCCCTCATCCCTCACCCGCATTCCTCACCCTCATCCCTCTCTCTCATCCCTCACCCTCATCCCTCACTCTCATCCCTCACCCTCATCCCTCACTCTCATCCCTCACCCTCATCCCTCACTCTCATCGCTCACCCTCATCCCTCACCCGCATTCCTCACCCTCGTTCGCTTCTATCTGACATGTATCTCACTGTTTCTTCTGCCCATTCAAGTGTTGCGATCATTCCCCTCAGCTCACACTCGCCGTCTTTATACAACCATTTGAGGCCCCTCACACATTCATTCATTCATTCATTCATTCATTCATTCATTCATGCATTCATTCATTCATTCCTGCATGCATTCATTCATGCATTCATTCATTCATTCCTGCATGCATTCATTCATGCATTCATTCATTCATTCCTGCATGCATTCATTCATGCATTCATTCATGCATTCATGCATTCATTCATTCATTCATTCATTCATGCATTCACGCGCGACACACTGACCCAACCCTTCTCAACCTGCAGACCCCCTCTACTGGCAAGGTGTGCTTCGCTGCTGCGGCCTCTGAGGACAGCCGAACCACAATCGGAGGTACGGGGAAGAGGTCCGGTTCGGTTCGGTTGCGATGGTTGATTGGAGCAGGGACAAGGCTCCACTCTTGTTGTTTCCGATTGGCATGCCTTCGCCTTTCAAGGCTTCACTCCCCAAGCTCTTTCTGACCACTGCTGCTCCTCTTTGTATATCGGCATGCCTTCTTCTCTTGCCCTTCCACCCCTCCCCCTTCCCATACCCCATCCCCATCCCCATCCCCATCCCCATCCCCATCCCCATCCCCATCCCCCATACCCATCCCCATCCCCCATCCCCCATACCCATCCCCATTCCCCCATCCCCCATCCCATCCCCCATCTCTCTCCCCCTCCGCTCCTTCTCAGAGTCCTTCCTACGCAACAAGTATGTGGTGTATTCCTTCATCACCAACGACATCTCCTGGTACGACATGAACTGCACCACCGGCCTCCGCTACTCCAACTTCACGCTCCGCCCCCCACCCACCGCGCCCTCCCCTCCCCCCGGTACCCCCCTAGCGCCCCCCATGTACGAGTATCCGCCTCCGCCCTCCCCTCCGCCCCCCAAACCGCCGTCTCCGCCCCCCAAACCCCCCTCCCCGCCTCCTCCGAAGCCCCCCTCTCCGCCCAAACCTCCCCCCTCTCCGCCACCCAAGCCCCCTCCATCTCCCCCCTTAAAGCCTCCTCTTTCCCCCCCCAAAACCCCCTCTCCTCCCCCCAAACCCCCTCCGCCTTCCCCCCCGAAGCCCCCATCTCCCCTGAAGCCCCCGCTTTCTCCCCCCAAACCCCCTCCGTCTCCCCCTTTGACACCCCCTGCTTCCCCTAAGCCTCCCCCATCCCCTCTGAAACCACCAACACCTGCAAGTCCCCCTCCTCCCAAACCTCCTGGTTCTACCACTTCCACCCCACCTCCCCCTGCAAAGACCCCTCCCCCCACCACCTCCGCCCCCCCTACCCCCAAACCTCCTGGTTCTACTACCCCTTCCGCGCCCCCTCCCCCCAGACCTCCTGGTTCTACTACTTCCACCCCCCCTCCCCCCACCACCTCCGGTCCCCCTACTCCCAAGCCCCCGGGCTCTGGAGCCTCTACACCCCCCCCTACTCCGTCTGACTTTCCCCCTCCCCCTGAACCGCCCCTCCCCCCTGGTCCTGCGCCCCCACCAAAACCCCCCCGCCCCCCTCGCCCTCCCCCGAACCCTCCCCCCATGCCCCCACCCACTCCCCCTCCGCAACCCCCCCGTCCCCCCCGCCCTCCCCCCAATCCCCCCCCAGAGCCGCCCCCAGCACCCCCAACTCGCCCCCCCCGACCCCCGCGCCCTCCCCCAAACCCTCCCCCTATGCCCCCCCCTTCTCCCCCTCTCAAACCCCCTCGCCCCCCGCGTCCCCCCCCTCCACCTTTCCCCCCGGGTTACATCTTCCCCCCATCCCCCCCGCTGCCCCCTCCCTCTCCATCCCCGAAGCCCCCAGTAGGTTCACTCGACCAACCCCCCCCCTCCCGATTCGTCCCCCCAAGATTCCCCCCCTGCCTTCCCCCCGCCTTGGACCCGCCCCCCCCGGGTATGGGCGAAGGGCCCCCCTGCCCCTATCTTCTCCGCCCCCCCTTGGTGGACAATATGGCCTCTTCACACCTCCTCCCCCGCTGCCACTACATCTGCTCCTGGGTTTGATCCGAGCAATCTGGACCGCCAATTGGACCGCTCGGGCAGTGAGGCAGGAGTTGCAGCAGCAGCAGGCGGAGGAGTGAGTGGGCTGGGAGGGTTCCGGGTGCAGAGCTTTGGTGAGGAGGACGGGGTTGGGGAGGTGGTGGGGCGGAAGGAGGCGGGAGAAGGGGTCAAAGGCACAATGAGTGTTGTTGCAAGCTCAACCAGTACTAATGCCGCTGCCAAAGCTGCCGCCACCAAAGCTGCAGCCGCGGAAGCTGCGTCCGATGCTGCGTACCCGGACGCAGCAAGCATAGCGCAGGCGTTGCAGTACGAGAAGAAGCACGGGCTTAGGGAAAAGGTGATTGGAGCGTCACCGGCAGAGTATGAGCAGGCGCTTGAGGAGGGAGTGGATGTGATGGGGGATGTGTACGATGAGGAGTTTGACCAGGCTGCTGTTAACGCAGCCAAGGAGGGGAAGATTGCCCGGGCTGAGGCGGAGGAAGAGGCGGCGGCGGCTGCAGCGGGAGAAGTGAAGTCCGGTGATTCTGGTGGTGGTGGTGGTGGTGATTCTGGTGGTGGTGGTGATGGTGGTGATGGTGGTGATGGTGGTGCTGCTGGTGATGGTGGTGCTGCTGGTGGTGCTGCTGGTGGTGCTGGGGGCGCTGCTGCTGGTGGTGCTGCTGGTGCTGGTGGTCCTGCTGGTGCTGGTGGTGCTACTGGTGGTGCTGCTGGTGCTGGTGCAACTGATGGTGCTACTGGTGGCACTGCTGGTGATGCTACCGTCCTTGGTGAGAGAGCCGGGGAGGTGGGAGGTGCGGATCGGCAGATGGTATTCGCTCACTCCATTGACCTGCTGCCCATCGATTACAACAACCCCCTCTCAGCCGCTGTGCTTCCCGGTGCCGACGCAGCTGGGGAAAACGCAGATGAGAGCGGCAGCAGCAGCATTGCAGTGAAAGCACATGTCACTGCAGCCACAGCAGCAGCGACTGATGATGCTTCCGAAGAAGACACCCCCTTCTCCTTCCTGCCGACCTCCTCCCTCTCCTGCGTGCCTGCCACTGACTGTGACTTCCACTTCGAAGGACACGCGGACTCGATCCCTCTCTTTGACATCTCGTCACTGCCAGCCTCCGGTGGTGCTCTGCACACCCCGCCCATTGCTTTCCGCGCTTCCGCTGCTGCACGCACAGTGAAGCTGGAGGAGAGGGAGGCACGGGAGAGGGAGAGGGAGAGGGAGGGGGAGAGGGAGTGTTTGCCACCCAAGGTAGTGAGTGTGGAGAGTGGGGAGGGCATGGCGGCGTGTGATGAGGAGGAGGCGCCTGCGAGCGTTGACAAGCAGTTCTACCTGCATGACAATGTGAGAGGCGTTTTGGTTGGGAGGATAGGGGCACATACTTAAGTGAGTGGTGTGTGGGTGTGTTGATGTGAGCATGTGGCATGTGTGTGCTTGTGCGTACGTGTTTGCTTGCAGACGCACAGGTATTTGTCACCATTCCTCTCCCTTCCTCCCCTCCCCAGCCCCCCCTGCATCTCCTCCCACCAAATCTCAACATTCTCCATCATCCCTCGCACCTCATTCACTTATTCCCTTCCCTTTCCTCTCCTCCCCACTCTTCGCCCCTTCTCCTGGCATCCTCTCCCCACTCTCTCCCCATTTTCTCCGTTCGTCCCTCCTCCAGCGCCTAGCATCGCACCCCTTCCATCCAGCATCCAGCAAGGCAGCATACTCTGGCGTGACGGTGCGCCTGCAGCTGCTCTCTGTGTCGCTGCTGCTGGATGGAACAGTAGTGAGCCTGCGCGAAGGGGACGGGCTTGAAGGGTTCCCTGAGGACAAGCGATGCATTCTGTTTGGAGTCCAGGGCGGGCGCGACTGAGAAAAGCACAGATGAGGCGAGTGGAGGGCTGAGGGGCGAGGAGGGAGGAGGGAGATTTGAGTCAACTCGAGGGGTTCCCGGAGGACAGGCGACGCGTGCTGTTTAGAGTCCATGGCGGGCGGGATTGAAGGGTGGACGGACGAGACGAGTTTTGAGTCGACTCAAAACTTGGGCCTGGAGGACACGTGATGTGTGATGCTTGGAGTTCTGGGCGGGCGCGACTGAAGGATGCACGGGTGAGGCGAGGTGAGGGCTCAGGGGGGATTTTTTTTAATGTCTCGAAAAGCGATGTGCACTGTTAGGAGTCCAGGGCAGGCACGAGTGAAGAATGCATGGATGTGGCAAGTGGAAAGACAGAGGGCAAGGAGGAGAGAGGAGGGAGGAGAGAAGGGTCGAGGAGGGGGGAGGGACGGGGAGGAGGGAGTGAGGAAGGAGAGGAGGGACGAGGGGTGGATGGATTGGGGGGGGCTGGTGAGCGAGGAGGGTCTAGGTGTACTGGAGGGAATTCTCGTGTTTAATGTGTGTGGGGTGCTTTGTGATGGGAGATAATGTTCTGTGCTGTCATACCTTGTCAGGCCATTACGTGGAATATGGGGTGTATCAGTATGAGGTTGGGGTTAGAGTGGTACGAGTGATGGGAAGGATGGGGAAGAAGGTAAGGTTGAAGGTCTGGCAGATGTGTCTACTTCTGTCTCTGTACATGTGCCATGTGATTCTGTTGGTGGGAACACGGAAATAGCTGTAGTATGGAGGGAGCATGGCGATGAAGGAGGGGGGGATGAGGGAGATCATGGAATGTAAATGGCTGTTGGAGGTTGTGCTGGTACCTACTGTCTGTTGTGGGATTATGGGTATTCTAGCTTAATCATTTCGACCAGTTGGTGGCCATAAGTGCCTATTCAAGGTTGTGCCACAAACAATAGTTGCTCACATCATATGCTCCCTTGGTTGCAGCCAGTATATTGAATCAATGTTTGGATCTGTTTAAACAGGATCATGAGGGAGGGATGAGTGTAAATGCAAAATGCATTACCAAATTGTTATGGGCAAGTTGACCACATAGGCTGCCAACAATGGCTGCTAGAAACGAGTGTGACGGAGTTTCCTAAACGGACTGACATCTGACTGGCCCATTGCTGGTCGTCGTTTGTCGCAATCCTTGCTGCTCGCCAATCAGACCAGCGAGGGTTGACCCAGGTGCGGTGCGGGTGGCGACACTGACACACCAACACCCACGCGGTAACCCAATGGTCAGGCATGAAGCTCACTGTCTTTTTCGACGATTCTCGAACCTGCGATTACCGATGCTTGGCGAAAATATGCGAGCCACCCGGCGATCGTGGGCGATGATGTGAGCGTGAGGATGACTGGGCGTGGTGCATACGTTATTCGCTTGTTTGTCGCCTCACCTCCCTCCCACCACCGCCATGTCTCCTTCCCATCTTCTCGGGAATCGAGATTCATCTGCTCACTCTCCCCCCCATCTCGAAGTCATCCTTCCACATTCATAACCCTCCAGACCTCCGCCATTGGTTGAAACCACAACCACTCTTCAGCCTGCAAACGAGGTGTTTGCCCCCACTCTGTTTAGATCCTAACCGCGTTCTCTACAAATTAGTTCGTATTATTTTCTCAGATTGCTGGTAGCATCCCTCCTTGGGACTATCGTGGTTCATTCCCCTCACCTCCATCCTGCCAGTCTGGGCTTAGAGTCTTATCCAGGCCTTTCCAGTTCTCTATAATCTGCCTCGCTTCCAAGTTGTTTCACCTTAATCATTCTCGTTAAGTGGCTCATGTTCAGCGGCGGAGACTTGCTTTAATAAGAGCCAGATAAGAAACTTATTGCTCCAATTGACGAACATAGCCATGGATTCCAGTACCGAAGCTCTCCTACTCGCAAGCGGGAAAGATATCACCAGCAGCAGCGGCAGCGGTGGCGGAAGCAGCAAGCTACCGCTAAAAAAGTCCGGCAGCAGAAACACTTCCGGTTCTAGATCTCGCGGCGTGAGCGGGTGGTGGGTTTTCGCGCCGTTCCGATGGCTGCTGCGGGTGCTGATGTTCTGGCGGCGGCGGAGCGACGACGACTTCGAGAAGAAGCTGCAGCACCTGTCGTCGGAGGAGGTGAACGTGCACCGCCGACTCAAGCAGCGCATCGTCTGGTGGCGGCGCACCGCGCGCTCCATCATGCTCTACTCCTCCTCGCTCGAGGTGCGCTCGTGATTACATGCGTGCGTGCGATTAGTCCCTTATTTGTATCATTTATTCCCCCCGCCCCCCCCCCCCTCCCGCTTTCCCATCCCCCCTTCCCCATTTCCCCCAATCTTGTTAGTATTCTTCTAGTCTGGGTTCGCTGTTGTTTTTTTCTTCCTTAATCATTTTTTATTTCGCTCATCAGATGGTGTAGAGAAATTCAGGATTTGCGTTGAAGCACACCTCTGGGTACCGGTGGTGTCTTGTAAGGAGTCTCGCCGTTGCGCTGCGTTGACCCGTTTCTTGAAATCGAAGGCTGCGAATCCAGGGTACGGGATTCGCAAGTAATTAGCATCATGGGCATGGGCATGGGCACGAGTGAAGGCGTCGACGTTCGAGGAATGCGTAACTTGTCAAGAGTCTCTATCGTCTTTATCGTCTATATCCTCCGGCTACACCAGCTACACCAAACTACCCGCAAGCTCATGTTGACCGTAGCAGCCAACGACCGGCCGACGACCAAGTCAACATCTCCACGTCGTGTCGTGTCCTAGAAGCTGCTGCAGTTGCGGATTCGTTCCTAGCTGATGAGAACCGCACGTGGCTCCTGACTCGGCGACTGTGTCTTAACCTGCCCGCGCTTGGTTGGTTCTGGGCCGCGTTTCTTGTCTCAGCGAACCGAGCAGGCGGTTTCGTTGCGTTTCAGCACTCCAATTCGCGCCTGAGCCTTCCCCCTGCCGCTCCGTTCTTACTCTCCAGCCTGTGTCAAACCCCTGTTCCCGTCTTCCCTCTCCTCTTCGTTTCCCTCCATTTCCTCCCCTCCCTTCCCCCCAACCACCCACTCCGCTCCCGCTCTCCGTTCAGTTCCTGATAGTGGGAGTGGCAGTGGTGGTGGCGCGATCGCCGGACCTGCTGTGGCACCACCGCCTGATGCGCACGTCGCCCGTGCTGCTCTTCCCGCTGCTCGCCACGGCGCTCTACACGCTCTGCTCCCGCCTCGTGCAGCTGTGTGAGTGGGCCGCGGGGGCCATGGGGGCCAGGGGGGGCCAGGGGGGCCATGGGGGATCAGGGGGGGGCAGGGGGCCCATGGGGGCCATGGGGGCTGTGGCGGGCTGTGGCGGGCTGTGGTGGGCTGTGGCGGGCTGTGGCGACACGCTCAAGCATATGCGCACTTGCACGCGCACGCTACGCCTCTTCCCTTCCCCTGTGACCAACAGACGACAATCGGGACCGCGACACGCTGGAGAGGCTGAAGGCGGAGAGGCAGGCGCATTTGGACGAGCTCAAGGAGCGCACCAACTACTACAAGACGCTGCAGATCATTCAGGTCAGCACGGCTGATCGTGCAGGTGAGAAGAGAAGGGCGCGAGATGCCGCAGTGCAGATTGTTTGTGTCAGCAGGGCGTTATGCGCTGGTGATACAGGTGAGGAGGGCGCTGGCTGTTGATGGCTCAGGTGAGAGGAGAGCGTGGCTTTTAGCGGTGGTGTGAGTGAACATATTTAGCAGGGCGTCAAGTGATGTTCGAGCTAGCACATGAATCTGGGAAGATTTTTCTGTTGCCTTGATCCTCGCTGTTCAGGTCAAGCCAAGCCACCGTGCCTCTTTACGACTGGATGTGTTTTCTGCTCATCTGTTGTGCTGCCCTGAGAAGCTTGTCTACTTTTGCTCGTTTGGATTGAGTGCGAGACTGGCGTCTTGCCCTACCCCTCCTGGTTCTCTCTCCTCGTCAACCCCATCCCTGCTTCCTCGTCGATTGGCTTGTGCATATCCTTCCCTGGTTTCTCTTGCTGATTATTCTCAGCAATACGAGAAGGATCCTGGCTGGTCGGCCGCAGACCCGTTGACAGCAGCAGCAGCAGGTACTGCTGGCGCGAAGGCTGGTAATGCTGCCGGTTCAAAGGGCCTCCCTGGAGCTGGTACTGGTGCGGGTGCTGCTGGCTCTGCTGGTGTGCTTGGCAAGGGACGTAGGACGAGCTCTCTCCCCTCCTTCCAAACTCCCCACACGCCCCACACGCCCTCCTCCTCCCTGCTACCATCTATTGTGGGCGTCATTGGCGGTGGTGCGTCTGGTGCGTCTGCTGACACCAACGGTATCGCCTCCCCTGATGCTGCTGCATACGGCGCTACGGGTGCGGCAGGGGCGGCAGGAGGAGTGGGAGGGGGGGGTGGATTCATGGGCGGAAAGGGAGGGTACCATCAGGAGGAGGCAGCAGCAGGGGCAGTGAGTTTGAGCAGCCCTGCTGGTCTGCGCCGGCGCAGGGGGAGTGGGAATCATGGGAGCGCGGGAGTGAGTCCTGGGGCGGCTGGGGGACTGGTCGCGGGCGGGGGAGGAGGCGGAGGAGGGGGAGGGGGAGCGGGAGGAGCAGGTGGGGCGGATGCAGGTAACTCGTTTGGGGGAGGGGCGCTGGGGTGGATTGCGGGGTTGATTTTGGGGGATGCGGTGGCAGGGGAAGGAGGGGCGGCAGCAGGGGGAAGTGGAGCAGGCGCAGGAGCAGGAGCGGGAGCGGGAGAAGCAGTGAAATCGCCCTCGCTCTTGCTCCCAGGGCCTCTGGCCTCTACACCATCGCACAGCCGCAGCAGCAGCGGTGGTGGTGGTGGCAGCGCGGTAGCAGCAGTAGCTGGGCGCCCGTCTAGTGGGGCGTTTGGCCATGCAGCAGGGGCGGAGGGGGGGAGGGAAATAGCAGGGTTGGGGGTATCAGCGCACGGGTATGGGGATCGAGGGATTTCGAATTCCGGGTTGGGAATGGGCGCCCCTGGTGCTGGTGGTGGTGGTGGTGGTTATGGTGGAAGTGGTTGGGGGGGCGGGGGGAGTGGAGCAGGAGCGAGGAGGACAGGGAGGGCGTCGGAAGAGGGGTGGATGGCGAGGATAGCAGCGATGCTGGTGGGGGAGGATGCCACACAGTGCTATGCACTCATCTGCCACAAGTGCTTCAGCCACAATGGTGCGTATCTATCAAGGCAGGCTGCTTTCAACATGTTGTGAGACGCCTCAAAACCAGAGGAGGGGTGGATGGCGAGGATAGCAGCGATGAGGGTGGGGGAGGATGCCACACAGTGCTATGCACTCATTTGCCATAAGTGCTTCAGCCACAACGGTGGGTGGCCATGCAACCTGTGGTCTGGTCAGCATATGACGCCTTGTGCGAGGGGTAGTTGTGCAAGGGGTAGTTGTGTTAGGAGCGCTGATGACTTGGGGTAATGACTAGTTCAATCCTGTCTCACCACTTGTGTTTCCTCTCCGGTGTTTCCTCTCTGTGTGTCCTCCAGGCTTGGCGCGCAAGGAGGACTTTCCCTACATCACCTACATCTGCCCCCACTGCCGCCACCTAAACCAAGCACCCGCTGCCACCCAGCAGCAGCCGCAGCAGCACCACCAAATTTCCCATCCCCACCCGCAGCAGCAGCAGTATCATGACCAAAGTGGCAGTGGCAGCGGTGGAATAGGGGGGTTGGCAAGCGTTGGTGATGGTGGTGTGGGAGGTGCAGGTGGTGGTGGTGGGGATAGGGGTGCAGATGAGGGTGCGGGTTCGTCAGGGCCATCCAGGGCGTCTAGTAGTGTGTCTTCTCCCACTGGTGCTGCGACTGTTGGTGGTGATGGCAGGAGGGGGCTGAGGCGAGGGCGGAGTGTGGGGCGCCGGGCACCTAAGCTTGCGGCTGTGAGAACCACTGGATCGTTTTCTGCTGCTTCTGCTGTTGCTGCAGCCGCTGCCGCCGCTGCTGATGCTGGTGCTGATGATGTCGATGCTGCTGCTGCTGCTGCTGCGGCTGCTGCGGCTGCTGGTGTTGGTGTGCCCACTGCTCCTGATTCTGCAGGTCATGCTGGTGAGAGGCTGGGAGAGGGGATGGATGTATGCAGTGCAGGGCAGCAGGGGCGGTTGATCGGAGGTGAGGGAGAGCAACGGGAGGAAGAGGGGGAACACGCTATGGGGTCGCATGATGGGTGGAGCACAGATGATGGGGAACTGGATGAAGTGGGTGCAAGCATTGGAGGGGGAGGGGGTGGGGACGGAGGGGTTGGCGGAGAGGGGAAAGTAGAGGGGGGAGCTGCGCAGGGAGCAGAGGAAGGGGGGGGAGCCGGCAGCGAGGGAGATTTTCAGAGACCAGGGCAGGATGGCGGTGCCAGGGAGTTGGAAGTGGTGGACGGTGGTTCTGCCGCTGGGTTGCCTTCGGCTGGTGGTGATTCACACGAGGGGCCTGAAGGGTCTGAGGGACCTGAGGGGTCTGAGACTTGTGGTGTTTCTGCCTCTCCTGTGCGTGAGGGGACGGATGGAGGAAGTGGTGATGGGAGTGGCTTGGATGAGGGTGATTGGAGCATCGTGAGCGGCGGTGGGGAAGTTGAGAAAGCTAAGGTGGAGGCGTGAGGGGTGGGATGGGGTGTTTGGAAGATGGCTGAACAGTGGTGATGCACTGATGTAACTTTAGGACGGAATGGTGTCAACTAACTAGACTTGGCTGTTGCTAGTCAGGGTTTGAAGGTTGGTGGTGGGGTGTTTCAACTGTTCTAGAAGACTGCCAAACGTCTTGATTGTTCCATAAGGATAATTTCTTGAACGAATATTTCCAAGTTGGTAGGTTGTGACGAGCAGCACAGCCGAAGCTGCAATCGTTTCACCAAAGGCGTCGATACTGACGGTTCAGCGTGGGCTCGTTTCGTTTTGGTCAAAACTTTGTGTCAGTGTTGGTTTGGTGGAACACTCAAGCCAAGGGCTTGTCGCAAGATGTCACGGTGGAGTGTGATTATGCGGTTTCGAAAGCGGTTCTATTGCCAAACCGCTTCGAACCCGAGTACAGAACCCTCCAGTCCAGCACGGAGGAGGTCTAGTACAGAATCGAAGCAAGGCAGTTCGACTCAAGATACACCCGATGCCTATTTCAGTCCCCTTCCCCATCTTTCCCTGTGCTCCTCTCTCGAGCACGCGCTCCCCATGGGGAGAATGGGACTGTATTTGGGTAGCCTAGCGTGTCTTGTCTGGGAAACTCGAATAACTCATTCGAGGTCAAGAATATCTTGGTTTTGTCGTGGGCTAGTAACGCGCGGGCCGTTGGCTGTGAATGTCTACCACTGGGCGTATGGAATGGCAGTGGGCGTGTTCAGAGTGGGCGGTTGAGTGAGCATTAGGGTGTACAGTACAAAACAAGTGCGTGCCCGTGCGCACGACCAACCAAACCCGGGGGTCGTCGTCACGTGACGTCCACGTCCGTCTGTCCTTCGCTGGCCTGCGGTGAGCAAGTTGTTCATCAGCAGCATATCCATCAATCATCAGACTAGGGTGCCTGATTCGCCTCAGGTGCCTGCCTGGCTGTGTATTCACTGACCATTGGCCGTCACGCTGCCTCTGGTCTGTTGCTGACGGTCCATGGCGGACCCCGTCCGTTTAATTTATATCGTCTGAACCACTACTCTCGTTTCGCTCGCATTGCGCGTCTCCTTATTGCGATATCAATTTACGGAATAAACTAAGCAATGGCGACGGCGTTGCGGGTTGGCTCGCCGCTCCAGACGCCGCAATGCACGGACGAGCGGTGCAGATTCCGTTCGATGGCCCCTCGCAACCCACCGAGATTATCATTTTCACGAAGCAAGGTGCCAGTGACAACGTCGGTGGCACTCGCAGCTCAATCGCCTCAGAAACACGCTCCTAACAGCTCGTTCTTCAGAAAGTCCTCGCACAAATTCCGCTCTACGAGAGTAATTCCTAAAATTCACCAGAACTTTGGCGCGTCGAGAACTCTCGGTCTTCCAAACACTGAGAGAGTTTCGGCTCGGTATCCTTCGGTGGTGTGTCGGGCGGGCAGCAACAAGGGGTGGACCTCGGAGCAGTCCCCGTATGAGACTCTCGGTGGGTGGTGTGAGTCTCGTGTGTGATTCTCGGTGTTGTGAGTGAATGCTTTGGAATACAATCGATAATCTGTTGCAACAACATTCGTACGTCTTCTGCCCTCTGTGGTTTCTGTTCTCGGTACTGACGGATTTCTTTCCCCCTTGCGTCTCCTCCTCATCTCCCACGATGTCGCTTCGCTTGCCACGTCGATCTTTCCCGGCGTGCATCCACGTGGCGTGCATTGCAGGAATCGAGCGCGACGCGGGGGAGAACGAGATCAAGTCGGCCTACAGACGACTCGTGAAGCGGTTCCATCCCGATGGTGTGTAAGAGAGAGAGGGAGAGAGGGAGGGAGAGAGAGAGAGAGAGAGAGAGAGAGAGAGAGAGAGAGAGAGAGAGAGAGAGAGAGAGAGAGAGAGTGAGAGAGAGAGGGAGGGAGGGAGAGAGAGGGAGAGAGGGAGTTTGAGTAAAGTTTTATGCTTGTCTGTTTCTTATACCGTTCACTATGCCTGCGTTCAGCAACCTATTGAAAGTTTGAGAGATGGACTATCTTCCCCAATCGAGCATCTTCTATGCCCCGTCACTGCCCGCCCAGTAGCACCTCCTATGACCCTGTTCCCCCTCTCCATTCCCCAACTCCGCGCCCCGATCCCTTCCCCTCTCTCCCTCTCCACTCCCCATCCGCCCCCTGCTACTTTGGGGACACAGTGTACAATGCTTCAAGCGGCAGTGGGGACGAGGGGGAGGCGGGGGTAAAGGCGGAGGCGCAGGGAGGCGCGGAAGGGGAGGGGGAGACGGCGGAGGCGCGGTTCATCCGCATACAGGCAGCATATGAGCTGCTCATGGACCGGGACGAGCGCCGCCAGTATGACATAGACAACAGAGTTGATCCCATGAAGGTGTGAGCTGAGTTATGAGCCGACTCAACATTTCATCTGTATACACGCAGTGTATGAGCTGCTCATAGACTGGGACGAGCGCAGGCAGTATGACATGGACAACAGAGTCGATCCTATGAAGGTGCGTGCTGAGTTTTGAGTCGACTCAAACGTTCATCCGCATACAAGCAGTATATCATGTATGGGTTTCTTATGGACTGGGACGAGCGCCAGGCAGTACGACATGGACAACAGGGTCGACCCCATGAAGGTGCGTGTGTTGCTTCTAAACAGCGTTTGAGGGGCCTCAAACGTTGGTTCATCCGCATGCAGGCGGCATTCTTGCTTCTTATGGGATGGGCCGGGACTGGACGAACGCAGGGAAAGCAGTACGACATGGACAACAGGGTCGACCCCAGGAAGTTACGTGGCTTCTATTTATTTCTATTCAGTTTCTTCCATTCACACACCTCACAAACCTTGCTGAGACGTCTCAAAACTCCCTGTCCGCTCTCCTCCACGCTCCCTTCCGCCCTGCCGCCCCAACCCCCCCTCCTCCGTGTGTGGGTGGGTGGCACGACAACCACCAGGCGAGCAAGGCGTGGGTGGAGTGGGTGCGGCGGAAGAAGAAGGCGTTTGACCAGCGGGGGGACATGGCTATGTCGGCATGGGCGGAGCAGCAGCAGCGCGAGCTCAACCTGCGCGCCAGACAGCTCTCCAAGGACAAGGTTGGTTCTTTCCTGAGCACCGGCAACAAACAACCCTTTTCCAAGAGAATATAAAGTGTGTAAGCACACAAGAACTTGCTGCCATGTGGCGAAAGCTCCCAAGTGGGGTACGGCCAGACAGCTCTCCAAGGACAAGGTTGTTTTTTAGAATTCTCAAAAACTCTCTCCAGGGCAAGGTTGCCTTGCCTGCTTGTGCCCGCCCGCCTGCCTGCTTGCCTGCACTTGCTTGAGGCCCGATATTTAGACAACTGGTCCTGTTTGAATTACCCAAACATCTCTTGAAAGACAAGTTTGCCCTGCCTTGCAATAACCTGCCCACTTGCCCACCTGCATTTGCTCACGAATTTGAACCCACGATCAGTCTTTCTTTTGTTTCTTTGAACCCATGAAGAGTTTTCATTAACACGGCCTGTCCTGATTCTGATTATCCAACTGCATCCCCCCCAATCCATTCCGACTCGGTTTTCTCCCCATTTTCTTCAACCTCCCCTTTCTCCCTCCCACTTCCTCACTCCCCGACCGTTTACTCCCCACTACAATCACTCCCCTCCCCCCAGTCGGACCCCGACGAGAGGAGGATTCTGGCGAGGGAGCGCGCAGCAGCCATGGAGGCTGCAGCGACGGTGATCAAGCGCCAGTCGCTCGTGCTCAAGAAGCGCGACCTGGAACGCCGCCGCGCTGAGGAAGCTGCCAAGAAGCGTCTCGTGGCGGACCTGCTGGCTTTGGAGGGGTTTGAGGTGGAGGAGGAGGGGGAGGGAGGGCAGGGGGGTGCGGATGGGGGGAGGGGGCAGCTACCGTGGAAACGGGAGGGGTAGATTTTTTCTATTTTCGAATAAGAATCCAGAGTCGATGCAAAGAAGGGGAGGGGGGAGGGGAGGCGGTTGGAGATGGGGGAAGGGACCAGCTGCAATGGACAAAGCGAGGGGTTAGTGTCAAATGTTGTAGCCTTATGATGTGTGTCATATGGGGTACAGAAGTTGGGTTAGGCTTATGTTCCCCAACCAACCTTAGTGAAACCACAATCCAGTTCTTGACAGTTAGGGAGGGAGGGAGGGTTGAAAAGGTTTTGGGTTAGGGAGGTTGGAGAATTGGATGAACGTGGCGCGGAAGGGACAATACGCGTACTGTGGTGCTAAGGAGTGCTGGTTAGGGCGTGCAAGTGCGTTTCAGAAAACAATAAGAGAAACTAAGGTACTAGTTGTCACACAGCAGATGTAGGTGTAAGGGTTAGGAACGTCCAAGCAGTCCTATTCTCAAAAAGCAAATTCTGTACAATTTGAATTTGCTTCAAACGAGTTACCCAGTAGCGCTACTCTCCAGAATCAGCGCCAGCAAGCGGAATGCAACCTTCACTTCCACTCCCTTCCCTCCCCTCACCGACTAGTGCTGCTGCTGACGCCGAAAATCCTCACCACCACAACCACACACGTCATTCGGGAAATAGCTGCTCCGTCAGCACATTTGCCGACCAAGCCTGTAACCTTCACTCCAACTTCTTGTTCCTCATCTCGCATATCTCGTCTCACGTATCGCGTCGCCATGGCCGCTCACCCCCCGCCTGTCTTGCGCGTGCTGCCTGTTGACGTCTGGAGCGACATTGCGTGCCCCTGGTGCTACGTCGGTAAGGTGAGGCGTGCCCGGCAATGCGCCTTGGTAAACTGCCGCCGCCGCTGCCGCCGTTGCCGCCGCCCGCTGCCTCTGTCGCTGAGCGCGAGTAGCGTAGACGCGGAAGGGTACAGGCGAGGAAGATCGTGGTTTCCCCGAAATTCCTCTCGCGCCTCCTCCCGCGCCTTCTCTCGCACTCCTTTTGTGTGGAGCCATGGAATGCTGTGAATGCTCGGACTGCTTGAACTCTATACACTTGACAATCGCTTCTCTCTCCCTGCTTACGTATCACAATTCCCCACGATTTTCCGCACTTCCCCTTTCCCAGTGTTCCTGCACGCTTCCCCTCTATCCTCCCCAACCCACGCCCCACCTCCTCGCCTCCCCACCCCCTCCCTCTCCCTCCGCGCGCAACCTTCTCGCTCGGCGCGCGCCGCCAGGCGCGGCTGGACGCGGCGATTGCGGCGGTGGAAGCAGCGCCGGTGAACGGACTGGCGGTGACGGTGCAGGTGACGTGGTGAGGGGGGTGGGGGGACGGTGGGGGAACGATGGGGGGAAGATATTTCAGGGCGTATGCGCGGAAGGGAGAAGGGGGAAGGGGAAAGGTGCAGGTGGGGGGAACCACCATTTCCTCCTCCCTCCATTCCCCCTCCCCCTGTTCCTCCACCCCCCCTGTTCCTCCTCCTGCCGTTCCTCCTCCTGCCGTTCCTCCTCCTCCTCCTCCTCCTCCTCCTCCTCCTCCTCCTCCTCCTCCTCCTCCTCCCGAATCTGCCCTATCCTCTCATCCCGTCCCTGGTGCACAGTCCAGAAGTCAATCCAATGAGGAGAATGCACAAGGCCATTAGAAAGCGCCCTTTGCACCCACACGCATGCGCACGGCACACGACAAACCTGCTCTGGAGCATGCACGCAGCCCCACCAGCGAAGCACCCTTTGAGGCACCTCAAAAGCCCCACCAGCGAAGCACCCTTCGAGGCACCTCAAAAGCCCCACCAGCGAAACACCCTTCCTTTCACCCGCTGTTCTGACGACCGTCTTTTGAGTTTGAGGCGCCACAGAACTCCCATCCCACCCGCCATCTCACCTGCCGTCCCATCTGCACGCGCGCCTGTGCATGCACACGCGCACAAGATAAACCTGCACTGCAAGCGGCAGGGGAAAGCCATGCGTTTGAGGTGCCTCAAACGACGCAACAGCCCTTTCGCCCTACCAAACCATGCTTGCGTGCGTGTGTGTGTGCAGGCATACGTACATGATACACCTGCGGACAAAGCGTGCCAGGGGGCGCCGTGCTGTAACAGTGCTTCAAAATGCACCCCTTGCTCTCTCCCTACCTACCTACCCATGCCCGCGCGTGTGCTGTGCAGGCACGCGTACATGATAGACCCGCGCACCAAGCGCCAGGGGGAGCCGTACCTGGCATACAACCAGAGGCGCTGGGGGGGCGACGGCTGGACCACCTCCCTCAGACGGTCAGCGCCCGCCCTCCACCTCCCCCTCCCCCTCCCCCTCACCCTCTGCCTCTGCGTCTGCCTCTGCGTCTGCCTCTGCGTCTGCCTCTGCGTCTGCCTCTGCGTCTGCCTCTGCGTCTGCCTCTGCGTCTGCCTCTGCATCTGCCTCTGCGTCTGCCTCTGTGCTGACCCCTCTTTGTTGGCCCTCCGATTCCTTACCCAGTTTTTTTCTCTCCTGCTGCACATGCCCCCCTCGTCCCCTCTCTCCTCACATGATTACCTGCACCCATCTTTCGGCCCATCCTGCCTCCCTCCCTTGCCCCTCTGCTTGCATCTCTGCCTGGGCAGCTCGGGTGCTCGCAGCGGGCTCAAATTCGGGGACTGGCAGTGGTGGCCGCACACCCTCAATGCACACAGGTGCCCACCACACACTGCACGCACTCAGGTGCCACACACTGCACGCACTCAGGTGCCACACACCCGCAAAGGTGCCACACACAATGCCACACACCTGCACTGGTCTGTCTGTTGTGTGTACCTTTGCCTTTGCCTGCTTCCCCTCACTGTGGGCTGTTGCTTCTCGGATGCATGACTTGACATTGTGAGCATGGCATGGCATGGCATGGCATGGCATGGCATGGCATGGCATGGGACCACATGTGTTACAACGGCGCTTGGTATGATATCTTTGTCGACATTGCATGTGCATGGGCATGTGCATGTGCATGTGCATGAGCATTGGCACGGTGTGCATGGTGAGGAGGTGGGGCAGGTTGGTGCATGCAGCAACGCAGCAGGGCAAGGGCAGTGAGGCGAAGCAGCGGCTGTTTGAGATGACGTACGAGGAGGGCCGCAACGTGTCTGACGCCTCAGAGCTGGCTGCCGCTGCGGCTGACCTCGGCCTCTCTCACATCGACTCTCCTGCCTACTTCGTGCGTGCTGCTGGGCTCACTCACAGGAGAGTCTTCTGGGTTTGAAGGCATGCTCTGCCATGGATGGGCGTGCATGGGCGTGCATGGGCGTGCATGGGCGTGCATGGGCGTGCATGGGCGTGCATGGGCGTGCATGGGCGTGCATGGGCGTGCATGGGCGTGCATGGGCGTGGACGGGCCTACTGGGGCTGGTAGATATGGAACGGAATTCGAGGGCCATCAATCCATCCGTCCCATGCCCCTGAGATCTTTTCTGCATACCACTGACGTCTCATCTCATCACCACAGCACTCCAACTCACATCTGCCTCCCATAGGCACACACATGCGCCGGTTGCACGCCCCACGTCTGACATGCGCAGCACCCCGCAGATGTCCCATCACGGCATTCGAACTCACACATCTGATTCACATCTGTGCTTGTGTCTGTGCATGCATTGAGGTGGCGCAAAAGCAGGAATCGGAGGAGGGGAAGCAGGAGGTGCTGGAGGACGACGCCTACGGAAAGGACAAGCTGAGGATCACTGGGGTTCCCTTCTTTCTTGTTGACAGCAAGTTCAGTATTGCAGGCTGCCAGGTACTCTCTCTCTCTCTCTCACTCTCTCTCTCTCACTCTCTCTCTCTCTCGCTCACTCTCTCTCTCTCTCACTCTCTCTCTCACTCTCTCTCTCTCACACTCTCTCTCTTTCACTCTCTCTCTCTCGCTCTCTCTCTCTCTCTCTCTCTCTCTCTCTCTCTCTCTCTCTCTCTCTCTCTCTCTCTCTCTCTCTCTCTCTCTCTTTCTCTCTCTCTCTCTCTCCACCCACCTTTTGATGTTAGAACAAATTGCAGGTACCTTCCCGCCCAGCTTGAGTTTGATGTACATACTTGACTAAGGGCGTGCTACATTTTTCTAAGTCACTGAACGTCCGGACGGCTGTCCGGACGCGTGCGAAGATTGCGATGTCGCACGGTCGCTTTGCGACCAACGCGATGTCGTAAGGACGCAATACGAAGAATGCGACGTCGTTTAGTCCCTGACGAACTCACTGCCGAGATTTAACGAGTTTCGTAACCACACAAAGCCGTCCGGACGAAAAAAAAAAATGAAAAAATGTAACACGCCCTAACTGTACAATCGCCATAACTAGCACTTTCTTCTCTCTAGTTGGTATGCTATCCAACTTACGACAATGTTAGCCTCACAAGAAATTCCTAATGAATGTCATGTGTCTTCTTATCTTATTGTATTGCTTTCCTGGCTGCAGGAAACCGCAGTGTTCCGGCAGGCTTTTGAGAAGGCGCTTGTCAGATGATGTGATCATGTGATGGTGTGATGGGTGGGTGGGATGTGTAGAACGGATGAATGGCTGACCAATTGCTGGAAAAACATCAAGTATGGGCATAACAATTTTCTGTATTCTAGTTTTTTACCAGTTCAGATGTACACCAATCAGGCTTCATGGTTATGTGTGCGCTGTCCATGATGTGGGAATAACTTCGGTTGTGCAACACACGTGGGGAGCATATATAACTATACGTGTGGTGCATCAAAACTGGTAAGTGGAGTGATGCACTTACTCTTGTCTATACATGACTTGTTCTTAATTGTTTTATAAGCAGCATGCATTTTTCTCCCTTACGGTCAGGCTGTTAAATAATACCTGCATTGTGAAGGAACTTGGTGCCTAGTAGGAACCTTCGTGAGGGTTTCTGTGCACAGTTCGCGCGACTGGCAGTTGCACCTGCGCGATTGTGTCAGGGAGTTCTGCGACAGCGTTCATGCGCCAACCGTCGCAGCATACCAGGGTCGCAACATCGCAGCGTCAGATGAATGACGAATCAAACAGCCGCCAGGGTGGTGGGAACCATGGGTGATGCCGCCAAATGGAATTCTACCCGAACCGACCATGGTTTGGGTAGGGCCTGGATGAGGCATAGTGGGGAGGGGAGGGATGGAGTCACCCCCAGTTGGTTTGGATATTTGGTTGGAGGAGTGCGACGAGGGCAGGAAATGGCCAAAGCTGGCCGAAGTCTGTTTCGCTTTTTAATAAAAGCCAGCTGACCAAACGAGGCCGACAGAAGGGGCAGGCATGCGCGCGATACCAATCCCCGCCAGGTTGCCCCTCCAAATTCGTGAGTCGCCTCTGCCATTTTGCAGAGCCCAAGACTGCGCAGTCGCAAATCAGCGCAGGCATTTTCCCTTTGGGATGGATGGACCATCGCAAATCAGCGTCCAGTGCGCCCTGTGCATGCTGCTGCTGACACTTTTCACCATTCATGTTTTAGCCAGCGCCTGCCTGTGGTGCAGTGCAGTCACCACCATCCATGCCTTCTTCCCTCCACATCCCTGCCAGTGACGGGACTTCCTTCCCTCCCTTACGTTCCCCCTTTCCCCCCTATTCTCATACATTCCAAAACATTGCCCCATTCCCCCTTCTCACCCCCCATTCCCCCCCCGTTTGGCCAGTCCCACTTAGTTACCCTTTCCCCCGCCTCCCCGAATCTTGTGGATCAAGTCCTCACCATATTTCTTCCTGCCACGCGAATGCTCCCCTTTTTCCAAGGCGACGAGCATGCGACTCGCAGAGGTTACGAATGTCGCGTGGTATGGGTTGCGATGCGGGCGATGGACCGAATCGCGCGCATCTGCGCCTTCTCTGATTGGTTCGATGAGAGGCGCTTAGTCCTTCCATTATTCGCAGCCGCAAGTGTGCCAACGATCTGCCTGGCGACCACTGACCAACCTGTCTGATCCTTCAGACTGCACCACTTCCTGGCACGCCAAGGCACAGCACGGCACGGCGCACAACATTTCACCTCATCCACCGACGCCCGTACATACACCATCGTCGAATTCATCCCACACACGAATTTGGCAGCAACTCTCCCTTCTCCATCTGTCACCAGTGCCTCAGAGCCCTGGGCCTAGATAGCCTAAACCCCGACACTATATTCCAAGACCGCAGATTACGCATTAGCTCGCAAAGCGAAGCTCGCTTCCAGTATCCTCTCACTGATCCAGTCGCCTTCCAAAACGGTGCGTTCCATAGGGATTATACTTCCTGCAAAAGCCTGTGCCTCGCCACACGCCATGGCTGAGGAATTTCAAGCGGAAAATGAGCCAGCGACGGCCGGATTCGTCGCTGAATGGGTCGCAAAGCTGTGTCTGTGCGACGCTTCGCTCGATGACGGCCAATGCGGTGTGTCGCACGACAACCTCGGTGACGATTCCCCTGTCCGCGACCGAACGATCGTCACAATCCATTCAACGACGCGAAGCAGCAGTTGTGACAACAGCAAAAGCTGTAGAAGCGGCAGCAGCATGAGCTCTGTGGATTTGAATTCCATCTGTGAATCGTTTCAAGCAGCAGCACACACACCAGCCTCCCCCATCGCCGCCACCGCCGATACCGCCACCATTGCTACAGCCTCCGCTGACTGTAGTAGCACAAACGAAGATTCTCTCTCCACGGCGTGCCACGGCACACCGCGGCGGCTCCGCGTGGCCGTCAAGCCGCGCGGCAGCCCTGCCGCCGTGCCGCTGTTCCTGCCAAATGACTTCGGAGGCGACGCGGTGTGGGGACAGTCACCAGGATTCGGAAAAGGAGCTCGAGTCGCCGCTTTCCCCGCCGCGAGTCCCCCGCCGCACCGCGGCTCGTGGACGGACGGCGCGAGCTGCTGCAAAACGAAGCGCCGAACCGCGCTCGGACGGGACGACGAGCTGGAGGGAGTGCGGCGCGCACTGGGTTGGGACAGTAATGAGGGCACAGGAGGTGAGGAAGAGGAGAGCGGCTGCAGCGACAGTAACGTCGAAGCGGAAGGTCATTCGTCCGACGGTGATAGCTTCGCCACTCGCTGCGATCTGTTTTCAAGCTCGGACGAATCCGACAATCTTCTTCGCGACTCGCTCTCTGGTCTAAGCCGGCAGAGCTCTTCTATAGCCGACGGCATCCCGCAATCTCCGGCGCGGTTCTCGCCACCGGATGCGGGATCGCCGCGGTCGTGCACTTCGGGAGCCGTGTCGCCTATGTCCGTGCTACCTGCGCCGCTGATATCGTCGCTGTCCGCATCGCTGGGTGAGATGGCGGAAGTAGGGGCAGAAGAAGACGCTCTAATCATGCTGCCCATCGCGTGGGACGATGCGGGGGCGGAAGGGGTTGTGGACGCGGTAGCCACTTCGGCGGCGGCAGCGGCGGCGGTGGCGGCGGGAACTTCTGCACATTGGTCACGACAGGCGACGCCGTGCCCTCGATCTCCATTCGCCACTCCTCCGCCTCGCTCGTCTGTTCCCCCGTCAATCCCGCGCAATGATCCGCTTCCGCCTGCCTGGAGCCATGCAACCGCGCACTCTCCCCCTGCGCGGTGCAACCTCCGCGCCCGCAACAGCTCCCCGCAGTATAGCGGAAACTTCGGACAGAACCAGTTCATCAATGACGCCTCTTCCCGCAGCCCCGTGTCCTCCGCCAATGCGCGCAACCACCAGCACCCAGCCGCGCACCAGCTACCCCAATCGGTGCCTTCCCGGGGTCCTTCCGCTCCCCACCCTCCGCCCGCCGGCTTTCCAGAGCGTCCCAATCCCCACCTCCCGCACCAGCAGCCACAGCCTTTCCGCGCATGGCCTGCGTCTGGCTCCGCTCTCCCGCCCATTGGTGCATGCGCGCGCAACAACTTCCGCCACCCGCTCATTCCCGCGCCTATGCATGTCCCTGTTCACATGGGCATGGCCATGGGCATTCTCGGTATGCCCATGCCTGGTCCCAACCACCCACCCATGGCCATGCATCACCATCATCACGCGCACATGCACATGCCTGGTGCCATGGCTATGCCAATGCCCATGTCCGTCCATCCTCTAGCCCTGTCCTCCGTTCCCGTCCACCTACCCCCGCATCTCGCGTTCCCTTGCCGTCCATTCCCGGGGGCTGGTCTTGCGGGAAAGTCTGGCTCCGGTGGGGTTCTGCGAAATGGCGGGAAGGCGGAAAAGGCGAGTGTAGGGGGAGGTGTTAGGGCTGCTGCGTCTGCAGTGGCGGCGGAAGGGTCGTCGGGCACAGGTGTGTTTCTTCCTCGCACCAGTGCTGCTGATTCATGCGGTGCTGTCGTGGGTGGAGAGGAAGTCATGGCAATTTGATTAGCTGGGGATAAGAAGGGATACACTACTATTCGGAATTGGAGGGACTTTCGCGTGAGCAGTGGACGATTGTGTGGAGGATGGTCCAACAATGACTATCAGTATACTGAAAGGTACACCCTACCCGGGTGACAAATACAGTAGATTTCATTATACACCTGTGTGTTGTCTCAATAATGAGGATGCTCTACTAAGCGGCCTTATGCCCGTGTGGTTTAGTAGCTCACTTTGTTTTGTCTCAATAATGGTATTAATTTGTTAATAAAAAGGCACAGGACCTCTATATAGGCATGATGTACCTTAGGTTGGGTGGGTGGGAGCATAAATTATTACGGTAATATTGTACAACAGTCCTCAATGGCAAGCAATCCTGTACTCCTCTTGCACTGCATCTTCTTCAGCCATCGGCAACATAAATGCATCAGGTAGCAATAAATATAAACTCTGGCATATTACACATCACGCCATTGATTTCGACAGGCAGACTGGCAGAGACACCCACACAGCAATTTTGGCTGCTTTTGA